TTTTTTTTTCTTCATAATATATTAAGAGTCACAGAGGTTTTAGACGTACTTTCACTCTGTGCTATCCTACTTGTTACTAAATACCCTTTTCAGGAATCTGCAGTACAACATCCCTTGTACAACATTTCTGATACTGTCCACTGGAGAATTACTCTATAGATTTCTGTTGAATCTTAGTACTCAGATAGTAAAAGTTAGTTTACAATGTTTGTCTGTAATATTGTTATACAGACAGAAATAAGCATTTTTTCCATACAGTTCTTTGTACTCCATCTTACCATGTTCTTCTACCTTAAAAGTACTGGACGCTTTTGGGTTCGCTACGTTGATTGTGTAAGTCCCCAAAGAGACTTCAGAAGCTAACTGAAAAGAGAGATCTGCAAGGCCTTGTTTTGGTCTCACATCCAGCCATTGGCCAATGCGGTTTTGATGTGGGTCCTGCAATTGGAGGAAAGGAAATGAGGTAGTCTCTAATGTCTTCCTGTACCCAAAGCCTACTGGATTCAAAGTTTGAGAGATTTCAGAGTCTTTCACAGGCTCATGCTGGTTTTCTACAAAAGGTATAGAAGCAACCGAAACACCAGAACTCCAACAGCGGTGAGCCAAACACACCAAGGGTTACCTGCTCTGTACTGCCATTGAAAAAGAAAGTATAAAAGGTCCTGACAATTAGACTTTACAGTCTTATGTGAAGATAAACATTAAGAGTTAGCAACAGTCTATTCAGAGTTCTAAATGCAGGAAGGAATATAGGCTGAATTATTTAGCTCTTCAGTTCTTGCTACAAGTATGTGGACAGGATATGTATGTGCTCTGTCTTGCACATTAAGAAAATAGCCTAGATACCCATCCTGGAGTACCCTTCCTTCTTCGTAACATCTGGAGAGTTTGACATACCCACCTGGACTTCCACCTTGGAGTACTGCAAAGCAAACAGACATCAGTATCAGAAGCTGGTGTGATGTAAAAACCTGCATATAGACTTATCCACTTAGCCTATGTACTACTTCAAAACCACCATTCCCAAACAGTACAATGCAAGCAGTTTGATCCTACAAGGTTTTGAAATAAGGTTAAAATGTAACAGAAAAGTCTGTGCTATTGAGTTTTGCTTTCTTATTCCTGAATTTTTACTTTCTTATTCCTGAATTTTTAAGATGTGTTTTGATAGACGTATTCAAGTTTTATTCTGTGACTCTGGAAGCTGTAATTTACTATAAAGAAAGGACAAAAGTAGAGAGACTTACAAATACATTCACTCCAAGTTCATGAGTACTAAAAGGCATCCATTTTGTAATACAGTTTCTCACAAATAAAAAACTGCATTGTCTATAAAATGAATAAACTCCACATTTCCCTCTCAAGTCCATGGCCTAGCAGGTAAGGCTTGGAGATATGTCCTGCTGCTGACTCTAGCTGGCAGTAATAGGCAGGCACAAAGAAAGGCATTCTATGTCTGTTAATGTTAACTCTGTTCTTATACAAAAACTATCAGCCAGGAAGCAGACAGAAGGGAGAGTGAAACATATGTGGACTGGAAAAAGGAATTTGTCTGTGAAGAGAAGGCCATGTTTGATTCAGGTTATTCATCATTCTAAGCTTTCATGCAAGTTACGATAGGCAGCTTTGTTTTCTCCAGAAGAAAAAAAAATGCAGGTTAACTATTTACGTAACTTGAATATAATGTCAGTGCTAAAATAAGACGTGAGTCAACAGCACCTCTGTTATCACCAACCCATCTTATTCTTAAGAATCTCTCTTTTTATTTCAGACTAGAGATTTGATTTAACTCTGCACATTTGTGTCCCTCAATATTTATCTGTCATGGCATGAATTCTTGTTGGCTCTCCTTAAATTGCTTCAGGACAGGTTAACGTGAAATATTTATAGCTTCTGGCAGAAGGTATAATTGCTTACCGTAGGAAGCTGCTAGTCTTGCAGTTTCCTGGCTAGCACCTATTCAAGTCTTTGGCAATTTCTCACTCCCTTGATTTAGGGAGAATGTGCTGCTGCCAGAATCGAGTAAGTAAAATTTGGTTATACAGTCTTCTCTCTTTTTTCTCTTTTTAATAATCAGTTCATATACATCCTTTCCCATATCAATTTTTTCTTAAAATTTTGCAAATGCACCTTGTCTTGCTGTAGATCCTCCTGCTGCCTGTAGGTATAACACACACCACAAAGCTGCAGGAGAGGAAGTCTGGGTCTGGCTGAGCCTAGGCATAACTTGTCTGGTAATTATGCTTGCAACCAGCAGCCTGCAGTTCCCCCCCCCCCAGAATCCCATGTTTTTCTGTCATGGGTCAAATGCATGAAATTTCTCCACTGCCCTTTACTAACTCAACTAGCAGAGCATACTTCTATGCTTCTCAAATATCAGCAGCCATTCTAGAGCTCACACCAAACAGCAGCTGAGACTACCAACTCAGCCATGAGATTGTAAGTTGCAATGTTTTTAACAGGTCATTGTCTGCTTTTCTGGGTACTGCAGACATGCAGACCAACTGGCAATCACATTGTGGGTTTGGCAGAGGCAACAGACTTGGCAGAGGAAGTCTATAGGCTTCCTGGCATGCACTTAGGCTTTACCTTGTTGTTAACGGGAACAAAGTCTTCAGTCAGTGTCACTATCCAAAACTTCACTGAGGGGAAAAAGGGAGAAGAGCATGTTGCAGACACATGGGACATACGGGCAGACACTTGCTTTGCACATGTGTCTCTCCAAAATCACAGCTTGCTGGCACCCCCAGGCTTGCCAGCTGTCTCCTCTTAGCACTTGCTCATCCAGGCTCACCGTCTCTCCCCTCCATACACTGTCCTGCTCCTGCTGCGCTTTCTGGCACTCTCCCACCCTCTGGCTCCACTCAACCACAGTACAAGTAAGTGCTTGGAGTCACAGGCTGATGAGGAGATAGAAAAGTCTTGCTTTGTCTTCAGCCTGGAAACATGGGCAAGGTGCTGCCAGGAGAAAGAAGGGTGCGTTTCCAGCAGCTGGTCTCTAACAACAACTCTAACAAGTTAGAGTCTTTTGCAAAAGCTGTGCTCTGAGCTCCTCTTTTAATTCTTTGTGTGCATGATGTGCAGATGTGTGAAGATCAGTCCTGCCAGGCCCTCACTGGAACCCCATGATCTGGGGAAAGCAGTATTTATGACTGCTCGCTCACCCAAACCAGCTCTGTTCTTATAGCCTGTGAAACCAAAGCCCCTTCCCTAAAACACAGTGCACTAGTACATCACCCCAGGGGCAGTAGAAGCCTCAGTTGCAGGCAGCTTGCCCCTTGGTCCCCACAAAGGCTGCATGGCACAAAACATTGAACATGCACCTCAGGCAAAAAGAGGAACAAAGTCCAGACAGATCAAGGAAACTTGTCAGGGTGCTTCATGCAGAGTGCTCACCTGTCTGTCCTGGCTTATAGACAGGTTTTTCCATCTGGATGAAGGTGCCAGTGCCAGCCTTGCGGATCAGGACTTGCTTTTCTTCCCTTGCACTGACATACTGGCCATTGGAGATGCGCAGCTGGACAGTGACCACCTCTTCACTACCTGCAGGTTTGGGGACCTAGGAAAGGGTCCCCCCACCAGGTTAGGGAACAGTCAAGGAGGACAAGATGGCATCACAGCAGGTGCTCTTGTTCCATCTCCCGAATTTTGATCCTCCTCTCCACCCTACTCTGGAGGCCAGCACGGCGTGTTCTTTTAGCGGCATGTTAGGTTTTATTTGCCAGTTCACACAAAGAAAATAAGGCTCATGAGTTTGGCAGTGCAGAAAGCCTTGTGCTAAGCCACATGTTTCTATGCTCTTCCTAGTCCTCAAGCACATTTTACAGTGCTTCAAGAAGTGTGGTGGGACACTATCTGAGATGAAATGTATGGTTCTTACTGTATCACAGCTCACAGATGTCACCCTGTGACAATGCTTCTTTCTCAGTGGGGAGAATGAGACACACAGCTGTCACTTGAGTGTTTCTATGTTCCTATGTCTGTTTTGGGCCCTTGGTGAATATCCAGGCAGCCCTTCTCTTGATGAACTGAGCCACCAAGGTGGATTGTGAGTTATCCAACAAGAAAAATATCATGCAGCGGCAAGAAGGAAAAACACTAAGCTTCTGTTTACACTCCACTCCAATTTTTCTTTAACTCCTTCCCATGCCCTCTCTCTTTCCATCGTCCTCTTTCTTCATTTCTCTGGCAAGAGTAGTCATGAGCCAAAACAGCACTCTGGGAGGTGTCAGCTACAAGCCCCTGCTAAGAACAGTCCTTACCTGAAATCTGGAGCACTCAAAGATCCAATTGTTCCGGACAACCTTGCTGTAGAGGCTGAGGTTGCCAGATCCATGCACAAGCGTTAAGACCACATGAATACTCTTCTCCACACCACGGAGGTCCAAGCACACTCTCTGGGAAGAGGGGAAGGACAGTTCAGCTGGAAGGGTGATCAGGTACATCCTGCAATGGGAAAATAAGATATCTAGCTAGTCTCACTCTGTCTTGATATTAATAATCCATGACCAGAGGAAGCAGCAGGGTTTACCTCTTTTCTAGGAGCAGCTGCTGTGCTGGGGGGAGAGGGAGAAATGATTGGCAGTGAGAGTACATAATACTCATAGAAGTGATGGAACAGCTACAGTACATTTCAGGTAGATACAAATGAGGAATTTTTTAGGTGACTTCATGTTACAGAAGTGTGTATGGAATTTTGGAGTATGTTACAATAACACAGGGAAACAAATATACTTGAGTCTGTCTCTACCTCTGCAAAGGGAACTCTTTTTAGGGGTTCCCAGTACACATGGGAATTATGCTTGCAACATAAGAAACGGGAACAGTGCTATGGGACTGAGAGATGGAACAAGCTGCAAAATTCAGATTGGGATCCAAAACCAAACCTGCTGTGTTTGTTCAGAAGGCTGCAGCTGTCTAATTCTGATCTCAAATTTCTGTATGACTCTGGGTCTGTTTTGACATCAGAAGTGCAAGATTCTCTACAGCTATACTCCAGATCCTCAATAGGAAAGGATCCACCTTTCTTGCTTCAAGATGGTTCCTCAATTACTTTGGCAGCAGTGTGGTTCCTGCTTAATCATCCCAAGCCCTGCAATTCTAGATCTTTGTGCTACTCTTTATCCTACACCTTTCCCTTCAGTTTTCTTCAGACAGAAGTTATTGCTCTTCTTGCTCCCACTAACACTCCTTACACAGTTCTTGCAGCAATATCCAAAAGAAAGGCTGTCATTTTCAGGAGCATTCTGTTCATAACAGGGCTTGTGGCATGCCGCATACCACCCCATATCTGTCTCTCCTAGGAGATGCCTCATAGTGTCCCATGCTCTCTCCCTGCTATCCTGGCCCCTCCCTCAGAATCTGAACTATCAATCTCTAGATCTTGAAATGGCACTTACGGTTGTGCCATTATCCCCAAGGTGTAGCCCAGGCAGCTGAGGAGGAAGGGTGTCCACATTTTCTTGGGAGACTTCCAGGGAGGTAGATCTGTTTGGAGGGCAGGTCAGGAGAGAAGATGATGTGCAGCTTCTCTCCTTCCAAGGATTCCACCTGCTGCTGTTGCCGTTTCTCCCAGGAAGCAGACAAAAGCCCCAAAGTTTCATTCCTTCTGCCTCATTCCTGTGTTTATAGTGTTCCAGGCACAGGGTTGTACCATTCTGAATGTTCCCCAGCCAATCCAAGTCTTTCTGGCATCCAAACTCTCTGCTTTCCTACTCCCCCGTGGATGCACTAGCATCACTCAGAGAAGTTTGCTTTTAATTTTGCTAAGCAATAGTTCTGTTTCCTGTTCACTGCTCTGACCCTGCTCCTTGTTCCTGCTGCAGCCTCTATTCCATTGTTCTGCCATGAGACAGATTGTTGCACGACTCCTTGGCAATGTGCCCTCAGTAGGAGCTCATGTTGTACTCCTGTGGTCATGCTGTCCCCAAACTTTTTAAGTTTGCGTATCCTGAGGCAAGACTCAGTCTTGGAGAGGACGGTGGGCTTTGAACACAAAAAATATGTATGCATAGTGCTCTTCTCCTTTGAGGAGTACTCCTATACCGAGCAGAAAGAACTGGAATTCTTATCTCTGCCTTACAGATATTTCAGTTTGAAAGGAAATCTAACAACTACAGTTTACTCCAGCTATATCACACATCTCTGCATGTCTCAGTTCAAGACTAATTTATGCATGCACTCACCTGTGGAAATGGCAGTTGAACCTCAAGCAGGCAGCACAGCTTGAGTCCTACAGGGTTTATTTCAGCTGCTAATGCAGTATGGCTCCGGCCCTACATGATGGCAATACACAGAATCGTAGAATTATAGAATTATAGAATGGTATGTGTTGGAAGTGACCTTCAAGATCATCTGGTTTCTAGAATATGAAACCACCATTCAAAATAAATTCTGTTTCTTGAAACACTTCCTAAATTAAAGAATTTCTTCCTTTTATTATCAAAATACATCACTGATTTGTTCTCAGCTGTCACACTAAGCTCTTAAATACTTAGGTTCTAGGAATATTGTCTTTTTTATTTTGGAAAGACTGGTGCATTAAAAGGGGGAAAAAAAGATGTTTATTTTCTTCACAGAGTGGGCAGAAATAAAACTTATCTTGTTTATTAATATATTTATTTTCTTTTGAGAACTTTTTTCAGCTAAGTGATTCTGGTGCCAATGGTTGAGAAAAAAAAAAGGTGAAAGTGCACCTGAATAAACAAATCAACAGGAACCAGAGCAAGAAAGTGAATCACTCTTGACACTAGGCTGCCCTTAATTTATTTCCATGGTTCTTAAAAAGTACAGACAGTGCCTGCTGAACAATCTCAGATGACATTTGTTCACAGTAGACTCACAATTGTTTCAGGGTACAGCCAGAACCCTTTCAACAGCATACGGCTTCACTATTTCAAAGCCAGGAGTCCTGGTTCCTACTCTTTTATGTGAGTGGAGTTCAAATATGTTTGAAGTTCTGGACTTATTACTGATTGGAAACTCATATACTGAACAAAGAACCCAATCTAACTCACAGACAATGAAAGTAACATGAAACAAGTGCTGGAGCAGCAAAAACAAAGTCACAGTCTTATTCTGCACAGTTCATGCAACTCAGCCCCAACTCCATCTCCCATTACCAATACCATCACCAGCTACTCCTGGCCAGGAGACACCCAGGAAGCAAGTGCTTCTGAAATGTTTCCTTATATCTAGTCTGACCCTCCCCTCGTGCAGCTCTGTGTCTTTCCTGGCCTGTAGTCGGTTCCCAGGAGCAGAGCCCAGCACCTTGCTCTGCTTCCCCTCCTCAAGATGCTGCAGAGAGCAGTAAGGTCATCTCTCAGCTTTCTCCAGACTGGGCATCTCAAGTGTCCTCAGCTTCTCCTCACAGGATATGCCTTCCAGCCCTGCTACCATCTTGGTTATTCTCCTCTGGACAAGGCTTGGATCTGTGTCTCTGGGGGTAGTCACAAAGCAGGTGGAAGCATGCACTAAGTCTCCAGGGTGAATCACTTAAATCTCTCAATTTTGTGAAGGATAAACAAATGAGTGCAGTGTTTGACATCTGCAGCTCTAAGCAGGGAAAGTAAAGGTTAGGCCATAGAGAAATTAGTGTATTTTTATCAATGGTTTTTTTTTCTCTGTATTTACTTTTTCTTGCTGAACACAGCCACCTCCCTCTAAATGCTCCATAGAAGCGAGACACTACAGGTTTAAGTTTACAGTTTAAGTCTGAAAAGAACATTCTGAAGGAAGTGGAAGAGTTCTTAATAAAGTGGGCATAGAAATCACAATAGATAGCAAGTCAAAAATGTCACTACCTGCAGTTTTTACATTCTAGATGTGTTTGTTTGTTTGGTGAACTCCTCCTATTCAATCATGAACTACCTCCTAAGCTTAAGAAGGAGTAGGTATAATATATACATATGTATGACCACTATAGTAGTTGCTTTGCCAGTAAGACTCTATTCCATATTACAAGGACTTTTATCACATCTGTTGCCTGTGCTCTGCTAAATACTACAAAACACATAATTAGAACATTGTGACATTGGCAGTGCTGAGTCTTTCCCTCTCCACAAGAGCCAAAGCTGTAGCTAGTGGTGCTCTTTACATACTAATACAAGGTATATACATACTATACAAGGTATAGTATGCATGTGGCAGGGGTATTAGTATGCATGTGGTAGAGGGGTTGAAGATTCATGATCCTTGAGGTCCCTTCCAACCCTGGCAATTCTGTGATTCTGTGAAGGTATAGACTTCATGAACTGCAGTTCTTGCTTTTTATCAGCAAGACCTTACTACTGAGCTACATCTGTGTGTAGTACACGATATTTAGTGGGATCACTCTTCAAGGAGGGCTAGAGTCCTGAACCCATATTGGTATCTGCATGATGTTGCTGGGGCCCAAACAATGCTGGAAGAAATAAATGCCAAATACACATTTCACCTACTCTGTCTCTGCATAAGTTTGCTTCTGCACTCTCCTCCAAAGTATAGCTTATATATGCTCTGTTATAAAATACTAATACACACCACAATACCCAGATTTATGATTTATATTTTATTTTCCTTTTTTTTACAAGCAAGAAAATCCCTGGATTAAAGCAATCAGAATTAATCAGACATCCAAAAGAATACACCCAAAAATGGCTGTCAAGATGAGCAGCATGGCATGGGCTGGGTTTCATCCCGAAATCCAATTTGAGATCTTCTTCAGCAGCAATATCAAAGTCCACTGAGATGTGACTTTCCAGGTGACGCATGCCCCAGCATACCAGTAACTGTGATTTCCATCCTAGGGCATGTCCCACTAGTAGAACTCCTGTGGGCTGAAACAGTGGACAGTAAGAGAGCAGGCCATGTCCCTGGAGAAATGAGAGTAAAAAGAGGGATCATATCAGAGAGAAAATAGCATAACTAAAGATATTATTTCTGGGATACTAGCAGCTATGGAGACCAGATCCTCAATAAGGACTCTCAAGGACAGTGTTTCTCTAGTTTAATTCAGTGCCCTTGTCTTAATTCAGCCTTTTCCCAGAAAAAAAGGTGGGACATTCAGTGTCAGGAGTTGGACTTGATGACAGTCATGGTCCCTTCCAACCTGGAATATTCCGTGATTCTATTCTAGACCCTAATAGTGTAAACTAAAACTAATACCTTGAATTCTGCTTGGAATTTCTTCTGTCACAGTGCAAACTGTCTGCAAGCACTGTCACTTAGCTGGCCCATGCATTATACCAGCCCAGATATCCTTTGGAGAATCCTTAAAATGCACGACTAGTCCTTCATACCAAGAGCATGTGTTAATCATTTCATGTCCCACCTACAGAGCAATACAGCAATGACAAAATCCAGAAAGCAGAGGACAGATAATAAAATCCCTGGAGGCTCAGGAAATTCCAGATGAAGTTCTAAATAAAGGAAACATGCTGAATCAGTTGTTTGCAAGGCTCTTCTCAGGCAGGAAGAGAAGAAACATAATGAAGCTACTAGATCTGTATAGTGGTTGAGGAAGAGAATAGTATAAAATCTTTGTGGGGTACACACCTACCTCAGATGCAGAAAACATTATAATCAGTAAGGGCCTGCTCCTCTGCAACAGGACAGGAAAGACAGAATTTATCTTCGTACAAAGCCAAGCACAAATACCCAGAGAGCCCTAGCAGCCCATAGTACCACACTCACCTGGATGGTAGTAGTCATAGACCCTGACATATCCTGGCTTCAGGTTGGTCACTCGAATTTCCCTTTCCAGATGCAGGACATATGTCTCAGACATGTGGCTCAGCTGAGGGAGAAAGGCAAATGACAGTTCACTTCTGAGCTGCTCTTTTGATTTTTCACCTAAATTTGATTCTGAAAATAGGCAATAAACTCTGTGGAGTCAAATGCAAGACTTCAAGATGAATACTGGTCTGCCACCCCAGGCCATGATTCCCCACACAGCTCTTCCAGTGTCCTCCACTCCTGCAACTTCCCTAGTAGCACACACATACCTTGTCCAAGTAGATGGCAACACCTGCTTGGGTTTTCTCTGTTCTTCTCACAGGATACCAATGATGTGGCTAGAATAGGAAAGTAGGTGGGGCAATTTAGTTGGCCCTTTTGGAAAAGGAAGTGTGAGAAATCCCAACAGGGTTTATCTAAGCCTGTGTAAGCAGATTCTTATTCACATACTTGTGAATTTATTTGGAGCTTTTACCCCTTCGGGCTGATCTATCTGCTGGGCCCCTTACCTCCTGCAAAACCCAAGGACATAAGTCTAGGCTATGTGGCTGTCAAGGATATACTGAGACAATTGAGCCAGAAGGATCACCATCCTCAAGGATCAATGTAAGAGACAACAGTAAGTATTCATATTTCTGTGTGACAGAAGGGAAGAGATGGTGAAATTGCTCAAGATAGAGACAAGCAACACATTCCTATGCAATCTCCCCTCCCCTTGGGTGTGGATGGTCCAACTGACACAACATCATCATCCTGATTCCAGGCTTCTTACAGACATCCCAGATCTTGCAGCCAGGACAAATCCAGACAGTAGGGACACTTCCACAATCACCATGTTGGAAATGGCTCTCTTCCCAGTGTACCTGGGGGAGAAGATGAAATGAAGGGTCTCATCCAGTTCTCCCTTCCCTCCATCATACTACCCTGCATGCAGGACCCTGAATCAGGCAGCACAGCCAGAACTGTGGCCAGGCAGTCGCTCATATGGGGTAGACAATGGCTGCACTGCTGTGAGCACCCCTAATCTGAGGTGACTACTTCGTTCCTCTCCCTGGCAAGAAAAAGACTTTGGAACTTTTCCCCATTTCCCTTTCCTCAGAGACACCTTATCTTTCTTTCCCACACCTTCCATCTGCCATATGGCCCTTCTGCTGCAACTGTTGGGTTCCTCCATTGCAGCCAAGTACCACTCTGCTCTCCAGCCATACCTAGCCCCAAGTGTGGCTATGAGCCTGTGTCTTCAAAGTCACCTGACATTGACATAGAGAGTAACAGAGTATGCATCATTCTCGGTGCAACTGTCTGGCTTGGTTTTCACTTGTAAGGCAAAGGATTTGGAAACCTGTGGGGAGGGAATGTTGTATCTCAGCACCGTCTGCAGAGAGAGACAAAAAGACAGAATAAGACATGGATAATAAGTTTCATATCATCTGTCATACCTTTTCAGTGACTATAGTAATCCTCAAGGTATGGACCACACTAACTGGATAAAATAGATGCAGTGAGCACACTCATCCCAGTACCAGAAATAAAGGTCATTCAGGATTGAAAAATTCCATGGTCCTTCCAACTGAGACTACTTGTCCTCTCCCTTCCCCTTGAGACCAGCATACAGCAGGGAACCACTATGCAAGGTTTCTATCCTCCAATACTCCAAGAGTCACAGAAGCAACACTTCTTGACACATTATGTCTCAGTCTCACAGGTTTGCTGCATTGGCAATGACAGTTAAAGCTCATTTCATTATATAGAGCTGCAACTGAGACTATTAATTTTGATGATGAGCAGAGGGCTGACACAGAAAGGTCCATGAGAAGTGGATAACTTACCCGGGTAAAGACACAACAGCTGCCATGGGCTTGCACTGAGAACTTTCCTGGGATTTCTGTCAGTGCCATCTCTTGCACCAAAAGCCGATTCTGGTAGGAAACTTGGAACTTCCTCACAGAGCCTCTCTGGGACCTCACCCTCACTTCTGCAACCCCTTTTGTATTGTGTGTCAGTGCTGCATACTTAGCCAAGGCCTGCAGGGCAACTACTGTATCCTGAAAAGGAAGAAACAAATGTACACATTTGCTTCATAGCTCTGAAGACCAAAGACACTTGAATTCACCACCCTGAGAATGTTTGTATACAAGGGTTCTTCTCCTCAAAGTGTTCACTCTGTTTTTTTTTCACATTTGCATGGATTCGGCAGAGATCTTTCTCAGGCACTGTTACTTTCCCCAGCCCTGAGTTACCTGTGTTGAGGCAAATCCTCCATAGGCATTTTGCTGTCTGGTGAGCCAGACCACAATGCCAGAGGCTGTGGTGAGGTCAGCCTCTGTGACATTTGGCTTGGAGAGCAGGGCCAGAAGGACATAAGCTGTTAACTCCACATCCACAGATAGTGGTTGTGACCAAAGGCTAGTGCTGTGCGTCTTGGATGGGGTCTGACTCCAATGGATCTGCCCACCTGGGAAAAAGAAGGAGGTAGATGACATTGAGGGGTACCAGCGAAGAAATCTGGAAGCATAGAAGGCACAGCGGTGTGTGTGCAAGGACCATACCCAATACTATGTATTACACATTGAAGACCCATTTATAAAAGTGATAGCAAAAAAGTAACTTGCCAATAATCAGCATATCTCCCAGGCATCTGATTTTTTCATTTTCCTGTTTGCCAGGTACACTAGCTGACTGATACTAGCTAGCTACCCACTAGCAGGTCCTGACAGGGAATTACAAGAAGTCAGGCAGTTTACCACTTTGCAGTGGTTAAGAAAGTCAACTTCTTTCATAGCACAACCTTCACTCTGGGTGCCAGAAAAGGTCAAAAGCTTTGAAAGAAATCAGCACCCACAGCACAATATTGCCAAAACATATCTTAGGCTAGCAGACTGTCTGTCTAAAAAACTACCTTTGACGAAGGACAGAAATTAAGACCAAAAGGATAGAAAGTAAGGGTACAGTCTTTTCAGGTTGCGTGTAACCAAGGGGCTCAGAAAGATCACCTATTCTTCTTCTGATGTTTGTCCGGCACTATGGCTCCCATACCTGCTCTGATTGCCTTTTGATCAAGTATGTCAAGAAGCTCTTGTGTGCGTTGAGGGTCCTTAGCCAGGGCGAAGGTGTAGGCCAGCAGGGCCTGTGTGTAAGTGCTGGCAGCTTTGGGAAGGGAAGGAATAATACACCCCAGAGCCTTGCGCACCACTGTACTCTACAGAGAAGAGTTAGATTGATATTGGTCACATGCAAACACATGAGGCATGCAAACACTGAGTTACACAAGCAGAAGAATGCATTAGTATGCACTAGCATAGAAAGCAACCCATATATTCACCCTTATTTCACTGTGCTTGAGTCTGCACTTTCTCTTTGTATCACTTCAGCACTCCCAAGCAGTGTTTCCAGCCCTTGGTGCAAGGCTCCTGACAGAGGTTTCCCCCACGGAATCATGGATTTCTCTCAGTGAAATGAATTCCCTTACTACTAGAATAGCACTACCACATCTTACTTTGAACAAAAGAGCAACAACACACAAATGCAAATGCTTGCAAGATTACTGAGTTCAATTCAGCTCTTCAGTTTCTCTAGGTCCGTGGGACTTAAAGCTTCCCTGTACTGTTGGCAGGACACAGAATTCATTCCAGCATTCATTCACCATTCCACACAAGCCAAACACTTGGAGTGGTTGCCTGTTTAATATTTGTGTATCTACAGCACGTAGAGATTTCCCCTCTTCAGTTTTCTACTAGGATGAAGGTCCTTGTATTTGTATTTCATTCTGCTACATTTGACAGTACATTTTAAATACTCGTGATCCAGTTTCATGAAAAGTCATCTCTATACAAGTCAGCCAAACTCAGACACTTCATGGAATTACCAAATGACAGATAATTCAAATTATGAGGGATATTAGAAGGTCTGCAAACCAACATCTATTCAAAGCAAGGTTAGCTGTGAGATGAGACAAGGTTGTTCAGAGGTTTATCCAGTCAGGTCTTCAAAATCTCCAATGATGGAGACAACTAACCACTCTAATCAACCTCTACCAATCCTTGAGTGCCTTTAAGTGAAAAAGGTGGCCTGAGAGACCACCTGAGAGAGAAAGACAATTAATTTCCAGCTGTCTTTCACTTATTTCCAGAGAACTTTGCTTCTCCAAGTCTATAGCAATGCTATAATCAATTTGATTATGTATTTTAACTGCCAGTACCACTGCCTAGTAATTAGTTATGATCTTGCAAGAGTTCCCCCTTATTAACTAGATGTACAATTCCAACTGTCCTACTTTACAGCATATGTCTCTCTAGCACTCCTTTCCCAGATTTCCAGTTTCTGGGAAGATGAAACACATTACAAATGCCATGTTTATTCACTTGGCTGTGGCAGTCATACCTCCCTCTCTCTCCTCTCTAACACCTCATTCCTAGCTTTCAGCAGGAACAGTGCAGTCAGTAGCAAGAGATTGTGAGGTTGTTGAGGGGAGCAAGACTGAGCAGCACAAGTCTGGGAAATAGGCATGGTATCTAGACATGAGCACCAGTAGCTCCCAGTAGAATCATAGAATCATTTGAGTTGGAAGGGACCCTTAAAGGTCATCTAGTCCAATTCTCCTGCAATGAACAGAGGCATCCACAGCTAGATCAAGTAGCTCAGAGCCTACCCCACCCTAATCTTGAATGTCTCCAAGGACAGAATATCCACTACATCTCTGGGCAACCTGTTCCACTGCCTCACCATTCCTATTGCAAAAAAATTCTTCCTTATATCCAGTCTAACTCTTCCCTTCTTTAATTTGAAACCATTTCCACTTGTCATATCATAGCAGACCCTGCTAAAGAGTCTGTCTCCTTCTTTTCTGTAACTCCCCTTTACATACTGAAAGGCTGCTATCAGGTCTCTGCAGAGTCTTCTCTTCTTCAAGTTGAACAGCCCCAGCTCTCAGCCTGTCCTTGTGCAGGAGGTGTTTCATTCCTTGGATCATTTTTGTTGCCCTCTTCTGAATGCGCTCCAACAGATCTATGTCTCTTCTGTACTGAGGCCTCCACATCTGTATACAGTACTCTAGGTGAGCTCTCACCAGCGCAGAATAGAGAGGCATGAGCCATTGACCACCCCTCTCTGGATATGATCTTGTAACCAGTTCCTCATCCGTCAGACATCCACTCATCAAATCCATATTTTTCCAATATGGAGAGAAGGATGTACTCTGGGAGACTGTGTCAAAGGCTTACTGAAGTTCAGATAGGTGATAACAGTGGCTCTTCCCTTGTAGCAGTCTAACCTCATATTCTCCCCTGCCAACGGAGTCCTCCTTGAGGGGTAGTTGAGGCTTCTTCCTGAGAAGTGGTAAGTTCATAATCTCCTGGCTGATTACTTTGCTCACAGACCTCTCCAAGGTGCTCTATTTCCTGCTTCAATGACTCCACTAAGCTCTTCAGAATTCAAGCAAAAGCATAGCAAAGAATCCTTGTATTTACCTCTGGTGTATCTCCTCTCTCCATGTATGCAGCAGAGATGTAGGCAGCCAAGAGAACTTCCCCATCCATACCTCCCTACAGAAAGCATAAATATCCAAAAGATGGGAAAAGTGATACACAAATACCTGAAACTATTCAAGAAACATCACACCTACCCCTGGTTTTCTCCCATGCAGGAAAGCAGAACAAAACAGAAAAGTGAGATAAAACAATTACCAGCAAAAACTGCTTTGAATATTCTTTCAAAATTCTCTGGGTCCTACCTTCATGGCTGTGTGGAAAAGTTGGCCCACATCTCTGAAACAGCCATTTGGAAGCTGGTGGAACTCCAGCCAATTGAAAGCAGCTTGGATGCTCCTGTTGTCCAGGAAAATGTATGGCTTGGCTTGGGCAAAGCATTTGACCACAAATGCAGTCAGCCTGATTGGGGAGAGAGCAGAAAAAAGGCATGAGAGAGGGAAAAGAGGAACAGAAAGAGATTGAGTGAGTGAGCAAGAGGGAAGAATAAGTGAAAGGAAAAAAAAAAAAAAAGAAAGAAAATAAGCAGTAAATGAGGAAAACAAATAAAAGTGGGAGCTTGAAATTTTCAGGTCCCTCCTCACCTACTGTTGGGCTATCCTTAATTTATCAGTTCAGTGTCATCCTTCATCTCAAAATAAGTAAGATATTGATGAGTTGCACAAGAAACATTTGGAAGACTTTGTGTCCAATAGGACAAAAAGGGATTCCATGCTGCAAGTAGAAAGCTCTCAGATAGCAGAAGGACAGAAAGGAGAGAATCCAGGGCTTACCAAGTATTACCGTACTCATCCCTGGTACCAAATTCACTGAAAGAACCATCAGGATGTTGATACTGCAGCTGTATCTGATACCCTGAGAAGTAGGTTAGGATGACAGTGTTCAGACTGGTATTTTCAATGAGATCATTGGTCAGGGAAAAGGAGTGGGGTTAACATTAAAAGTCATGGAGTACTCAAGGAATAAGGGGTGTAGGCACTAGGGACTGTTACTAGGTTGAGTACAGGGAAAGGCAGAAGAGTAAGGTGGATCTGCTGTACTTGCCATTGCGCAAGAATCCGGTTGCCCTCTCCTTAATCTCAGGAGTCAGCTGCCTTGTCTTCTCCAGGTACTGCAGCACATAGACAATGGGGGCAAACAGTATCATGTTCTGCTCCCCACAGCCATGGGGCATCTGAACCAGGTGGTCCAAGTTTTGCAGTGCTGTCCCCATGAGGTCACCTGGGACAGAACATAGACACTCTGACCACTCATAGGTGTCTGGTGGGGCTCGATATTCATATCTTCCAACCTGTGACCAGTTCCTGGTACTGCACTAAATAAGATAGCCCCAGAACAACAGTGTGCAGGCAGCTATTGTCAGTCAGCTTATCAGTTTCACTGCACCCTCTTTATGGCCTGTACGCACTCCCATCCTGCCAGAGGAAGCCCATAAATAGAAAACCTTTCCCCTTCTTCGTGTTTTTGGTTATGTGGAACCAGGAATCTCAGCTACATACATGGAAAGATCAAGGCAGTTGGAGCCTCGGAAACCTCAGAAAAAGTATTGAGTGTTCTGGACTTGGGCTTTCTTAGGGATATTCTCAGAGAAATAGTTGTTGAAAAAGTATTTATCATAACTAAATTCCTTACCAGTGACCGAGACAGTAGCTCTCACTGAACCTTCAACCACATTTAGAGGTAACATTAAGGACACAGACTCCTCTGCCGGACTCCCTGATACCAGGTGGTGTAAGGTATGACAAAAAGGACAAAAAAAAGAGATTCTTACAAAAATAGCTTTAAAAATCTGCAGAATTTGTTCAAGATGTTGCTAACATCCCATTTTCTTGCCACAGAGGTTGCAGATCACTTCACAAACCCTATCCCATTCAATCCTCAGCTCTGTCCATCTAACTCCATTGTGACTGTGCTATCCTAACAGCCTTATGAAGAGGGTGAGGGCATCTTCAAGGAATTCTCTGTGATCAAAGCCACCTACCTGCTTTCCTCTATGTAAATTACCCCAACTTGACTCAAAGGAAAAGCTAAGGGGAAAAGCTAGGAGAAAAGCTAGCGAAGCTTGTTGGGAGGGCTTTAAACTAGGTGTGAAGGAGGGCCAGGGAGGATAGTGAGCCTTTCCATGATAAGGTGTGGAAAGGCATAACTATAATAGAGGGACAGGGTGCTGGCAAGGGCCTTGAGGGACCTGCTACATTGAGAGGTGCTAGCAGCAACGCAGTGCAAACGGAAATCAATGATGGTGAGACAGTGAGTGCAACACTCATTACCAATACAAATTGGGAGATGAAAGGATTGAGCATAGCCCTGCCAAAAAAACCTAGGGCTACTGGTAGATGTCAAGCCGGACATGTGCCAACAGTGTAGCCTTGCAGCCCAGAAAGCCAACTTTATCTTGGGCTGCATTAAAAGAAGCATGGCCAGCAGGTCGAGGGAGGTGATTCTGCCCCTCTACTCTGCGCTGGTGAGGCCTCACCTGGAGTGATGTGTCCAGATGTGGTGTCCTCAGTACAGGAGAAACATAGATTTGTTGGAGCGGGTCCAGAGAAGGGCCACAAAAATGATCCACAGACAGAACACCTCTCATATAGGACAGGCTGACAGAGCTGGGGCTCTTCAGCCTGGAGAAGAGACAGCTGCGAGATGACTTAATAGCAGCCTTTCAGAATCTAAAGGGGAGCTACAGGAAAGAACGGGACAGACTCTTTACAGGGTCTGTGGTGACAGAACAAGGGAAAATGTCTTCAAGCTCCGAGAGGGTAGATTTAGGTTAGATATAAGGAAAAAATATTTTACAGTGAGAGTGGTGAGGCACTGAACACGTTACCTAGTGATTTGGTTAATGCCCTGTCCCTGGAGACCTTCAAGGCGAGGCTGGATCATGCCCTGGGTATCCTGATCTAGCTGTGGTGTCCCTGTTCATTGCAGGGGCATTGGACTAGATGACCTTCAGAGGTCCCTTCCAACTCTAATGATTCTATGATTCTAAATATCAGTTGCCAGTATGTCTTAGTGCACCTAGTGGTAACAAAAAAAGCTGCAAATAGACCCACAATACACCATAAAATTCAAAAACAGGAGTAGCAAACCAAAGTCACACCTTCCAGCCTCACCCTGTTCTGTAACATGGTTATTAATACAGGTAAAATGTCCTCAGGCTATCATATTACTATCAGGAATGTAGATGCTAAAAGCTTTGACATCTCTTCTTATCTTATCCAGGAAGCTCCTGATGGCAACGTAATTAGAGTATGCTTTTGTACCTTGATCATGTTTGACAAAGAAAAACACTTCAACAACTGCAAAAACCCAGGAGATTGCCAGGAATGGTGAGATTAGCAGAGTAAAGAAAGAAAACAATCTCTTTACCTTTTTTGGGACACAGGATGGAGCTGTGAGCCTTTTCTACTAGCACTCCCTCTGGCTGTTGAGCATTTAGTAATAGCAGTAATGAGCACATAGGAGAAAAAAAGTGGATTAGAAATAGATACAGACAAAATTTTGGTCCAAGCTAGAGATTCTGCTTTTTATCATCAATAATAATAAAAAAAAAATTATAGTCAATCATTTCATTTTCAGATAAGAAATTTTCAAAATATTTTAACTTATGAATGCCTGTTGTTGCAAGATTCAGCAGAGTTAAGTAGGAAGAACATAAAAGGGTATAAATACTTAAGATTTTGTATTTAGAGGCCTGACCACAAAGAGAAGAACATTTGGCATGAAATGGAGGAGACCCATATAGTTCCTAAATTTCAAGGCCCCAGCTCAGGCAATTAGATTCTAATTTTACACCTTGAATAGCAAGGGACAACTCCTAGAATTACTCTGCACCAAACTAGGAATTGCACAAAGTCCACTTTAAGGTCTAAGTAACAGAAGAGGTTGTCTGACCCGGACTAAAAGGAGTTTGGTGATTGTATCTTTCTGTCCTTGGTTTGGGACAAACGGTATCTCTTTGCCACAGAGCTCTTTGGTGGCAATGGCCTCTGTGCTGAGAGTGATGTTCATGAGCCCTGAAAATAAGACACATTTAGTGCAGAAAACATTGTTTCCCATTAATATAACAGAAGTCACTTGTTTGCAGCAAAAATTTCGATTAGAGCCCTACTTACAGGAGGTTCTGTACCTCCTAGCACTAAACTATGAGTATCATGACTTTAGCGGATATGCACATGAGTAGCCTAGGTTGACAGGGCACACAACCCAACCTCCTCACTCAGTCCTTATAAAGCATCCTCACCTTGGCCCCATTCCATCCCAACTCCTCAGCCCCACCTCCTTTTTCTCCTCACCCAGTCGCTCAGCTGTGACATTCCAAAGAAAAGTCTTTAGTTCTCCAGCACATAAGCAGCTGCTGTAGACACAACCCTCACATGACTTCAGTTGGAAATGTGGGAACTCCTCCATAGTCATTTGGATCTAACGGAGCAGCAGGGATGACAGAAGGTAACAAGACAAATGTCACACATTTTCTAAAATAAGGCACGGGCTTCATCCATTTCTTATCTAACTATACCCCATTTTTCTTGCAAAGACTGTCAGGGCTCACCAACCTTCATACATTGCTGTAGGTAGTTGAATACTGTGGCCTTCAAGATGAAGGTCTCACCCTGGATCACAGAAGATGGAAGTGTGAGCTCCACAGAAAAGGGCTTGAAAACAAGCAGACTAGAGGCTGAAGCTAGTCCGAAGCCATTACGTCCTGTGCAGAACATCCCAGCTTTCCATCTTGTGATGGTGTTAGGCACAGTGACAGTGACAGTCTGGTTTCCACTAGGACTGAAGAGAAGTAGATAGCAATAGAAGCATTTAATAGAATCTTGTTGTATGGAGCAACAAATGACCTAATCTATGCCCTTGTCCCCAGTACACTCCATTCCCTGACCTCAGTCTAACAGCAAACGTCTGCTGAATTTGTAGCCTTTGGAATACACGCAAAGAGCCATGGGACACATCATTCAGATGAAACAGACATGCCAATACGAGGAGGGCTGTTGTGACAGTAATGCCTCCTACTTTATTATGGTGGCCCACAATGTCAGAGGCAGATGTTGGTGGTATGGCAGTAGAGGCTGAACTTTCCCATCAATATTCCATTATATTTTGCTGCCATAGATGGCAAGCAGGGGGGCAGTCTGGCAAAATGATATCTGACACTGAAGTGCATATGAAGCAAAGGCATATCACAAAGCTCCTCTATGAAGAAAAAAAATGCACCTACTGACATTCAGTGATACTTGCTGCGCATTTATGGAGACCAAAGAATGGATGCGAGCACAGTGAGGAGGTAGGTGGTTTGTTTCATCAGTGGCAATAGTAGCAATAGGTCAGTATTACGGTGCAGATTTTTATGGGTGGCATGCAGGCTCTTGTTCACTGCTGGCAAAAATGCAGAGCTAATGGTGGTGACTATGTTGGAAAATAGCATTTTGTAACAGAGAATTTGATCTATCAAATGCTGTCACGGTGCTCTTTGTATCTGTTTCAACTTCCATGGAAATAAACAGGAGGCAGGAGGCATTACTTTCAGAGCAAAATATGTACATCATGAGCAGCTGAGGGAAGAGGTATTAAAAATATCTATTTCAGGTGTTTGATTTTGGCAGCTTTGTCCCCCATGCAGCCCCTTGAGAGAGGTAAGCTCCCCTTGGCATTTCACTCTTTCATCCTCACTGATATAACTTCACAATGCCTTCAACAATAGCTTCTGAATTAATACCCAGTGCATTACTGCCTTGATACCACCTTCCATCCATTAGCAGATTCTCCCTGCAGACCAATATGAAGTCCCCAAACTAGCCTGGAATATCTTGCTATAGGCATTCACTGTTTCTGATGGAAATATTGCCTTTCTTTAGGCTTTTCTCTATTTCATGTGGACCTTACCTAGAAGAGGCAGAGACTGCTGCCTCAGATGCTTATATCAACAGAACACTTTTGACAGTAGGTTATATGGCTGGAAGATACCATTATCATACTCAGCACTTTTCTAAGTTATCACTTGCCCTTTGCACATGTGAAAATGCTTTATGGCTGTCAGCAGTTTTGTTCTTCTTGGCCTAGGGATGAAGATTCGGGAACCAGAAGAGCAATAGGAGTGGTCCAAGACAAACAGAACTTATCAAAAGAAACTTATTTTGTCATTCACCTTTCCATGAAAAACTGACATCTTGAAGTCTAATAGGAAGACATGGCAGAGACTTGGCCTGTGCTCACATCACAACTTCTAAGAGCATCAGAGTACTCCGTGGCTGCTCCCACCCATTAAAAAAACATCCCTCATTAAAGCTTATGATATTATTTCACTCCAACAATTGAAAACATTTGCTTTCCTCTAAAGAATTCACTTTTGCCAGGCATAGACAAATATGAGAGAACTTTGGTTGCTCAGATCAGTCTAGTGGGCAAATCACATAGGAAATATCTGCTGATAGTGAGTGAAAAGATGAATATAGCTGGAAGGAGATGGCAGGTGAGAGAGGGCAGAGGCAGGGGGGAGGGATCTGGCCTAAGCAGATGCCAGTATCCAGACATCAAACAATAAATTGTGAAGTCCAGAGAAGAAAAGTCTCCAAAAGCTTATCCTGTCCTTCTTCTGAAGCTCAGCAGAAAATGGCTTCCCACACCATCATTCTGCTCCCTCTTCCTGTCCGGAAAACACTAATTTGTTTCCTGGTCCATGGGGAGTCCTGGAAGCATCATGAAGGAAGGACAATACAGATGCTGAGTATAAACTTCTTCACCAGAGCACCTGGAATTCATATAGTGTTTGCCTGTTTAGTCCCTCATCTCACGCTCAATCCAGACCCAAACACTTTCTCTCCCTCAGTTGTGTTGGTGAGGCTACCTGCATACTCACTGAACCTTCAGCCTTTCTCACAGGACACAATCCCAAGTCCTGTGGAGAGTTTCTGTGGAGATCAGCTTCTCCTTAATCCCACGATACATCGCATGAGCCTACTTTGTGAACTGCTGATTCACAGAGCCAGCACAGGCAGACTGCTGGAAGTAAAACAAGCTGCTTTATCACATCATGCCTACTTTGTTCTATTTTCATGCCAGCCTCCTCCCTTGGATGGATACTTTCTCTGCATGGTCATCTAGTGCAGGAAAATATATTTGATGCAGACATTAGTTTCAACAATCTGGAAACAATCTGGTAGGTATGAAACCCATAATATATGTCTTTTGGTGTCTTCCTTGGTAGCTTATGATTTAAATCTGGTTGTATCTGCTGCCATTCCAGGTCACCCAAACTAGACTCCCACTACTGAGTCTACTCACCCAACAGAATACAAATCCCATAGCCAGGTTTTTGTGAAATACTTGTGCACTTTCTCTTCAGCTGAAGAAACAGGTGAAAACATAGCGGGCTGATAGGTAGATGTCATCAGACGTCCTGCTGGAAGAAACAAACACCCAGCTACCACAAAGTCCTCAGGCCCTGATTTAGAGTAGAGGGCCTCCATACTAGCTCAGGCTGAGAGTCATCCAGTCAGGTCATGGGAAGCACTGCGCTTGAACTAAAGATGCTAGCCCAAATTTTACAACTTCTTGTCTTATTTGATACAACAGAGCCTCTCTGTGCCTTAATTGTGTTCATAGGCACCACAGGAGGGGCAAATATTCCCTCACCTCAGAAGTTAGACCTGAGATCCGCCCATCTCATTTACATTTCAGAATCAAAAGCCGTAAGTCACAGACAGCCTAATAAGCATAACAGGTTTAAAGTCAGAGAAGTGTCTCTCCTCCACGTGCAAGTACAGGAAGTACTGCCTTTTAGCTCAAACTCAGGACTGCTTTCACCTTTTCTACATCCCATGTAAGAAGAAATAGTTGTAAGGTGCTTACTGTTAGATTCCTTATGGGGCCGAGCAAACATCAACATGGGACTGGAAGTGAACATCCCTCTTTCCTTCATCATAGCTGTTGACTGATTAGTTAAACATAGTCTTGGTTTCCTGATATTGATGTTGGACATAATTTTCAATCCCATTTCCTGTAGGAAAAAAGAAAAAGAAAGAACTGAAGCACTGGATTCTTCTCCTATCTTCTCTGCCCTTTATCCGGTGCCTTATTTTCCCCTTATACATAGGAACTCCGCTATCCTTGGCTTGGTAAATTATTCTCTTGCTTCAATTTAGGATAGAGTCATTCAGATCCTCAGCAAAGAGCAAACAAGGTCCTCTGTGTTAATTCATCAGGCCAAGATAGAAAAGTTTCTTCTTTTTCAAATGCACGGTTATTTAGGCACTGTGCCTTGTCAGCTTACAAAGTGAAATTCCTACCAGATTAATCTTCGGCAACCCAAGTTGCTCATGATATGGAGATGACACATACTATGTGAAATCCAATCAAAGTAACCAATAATACTTTGCATCCTAAATCATGCAATAAAAATGCAGTAACCACACAACAATTTCCCCTTGGTCAACGATTTCAAGTAGTTTATTCAAAGAACAAATGGATTATAAGTGCCTAAATGGACCTTGTTTCCTCTACTATCTGTGATGATGTTTCTACATTACTGATAAAGTCAGAGGGCCATAATTCCCTCTATCCGTGAATTACAAATCAACTATTTTTACCCTGAATGCTGTAAACACATCAGGCTGATCAGAATTTTGGAATCTGCATGAATTGTCATCTTCAGACACTTGATGAGGATACCCAGAGTTATAAATAGATGGAAAGAGCCCATGGATCTGAGAAAGCAACAAAAGAAAAAGAAAAAAGTCAGCACAAATAATACTTGGCATTCACTTTGTGTAGTACATCCAAGGCGGGTTTGCTCCTGGCTATCATGCATGAATGTATGTCAGAAAGAACGGGCTCAAAGTTATCCTTCTCTGGCTCTTCTCCAATAGAGCCAGCACAATCTGCTAAAATGAATATGAGACAGAGCAAACAAAGCTGGGTCTGGATTTACTACTGGTGCACTGAGTGGCATTCAATCTCCTTAACTGATGCCTCCTAATCCTTACCTGTGCCACATTAAGAAAACCTTGATCCTTCTACTTGGTGCTTTGAGTTCCCTCAGAGACAATCTCTGAAAAGATGCAACAGCCAGTCTCTCTTTCTCCCACCCCTCTTTTTGTCAGTGCAAAGGAAGAAGAAGTTAGAGCAGACTCACCATAGAGTGGCTGAGTTCTTTTTCTGGCTTCAGCAAAAAGACAGTCTGATCCACAGCCCAGACAGCACATGTAGACCCAGGTTGTGCCTGCAGGCGGAGATTAACTTCTGAACCAGGAAGAGTCTTGGGCACTGAGAAGCTCAGCTCTGCCTGGATGTGAAGAACATGCAAACATAGGTAAAACAGATGCAACATTTCTGCTGCTGGCCTCTCTACCTCTCCTTGAGCAGAGAAGGTCCCTACATGAAGAGAATTTTCAAGGACATGATTTGAATGAAAAACCAAGGAATTTCATAAGGACTCCTAAAAGGTATTTAAGAAAACATCATGTTGGGATTCTAAGAGGAAAGATGACAGATTACATGAAAGACAGGGAGAACCATCTTTTCTATGATCACAAGTACAGGTGAACAGGTGACAGCACTGGAGACATTACACAGCACTCCTTGCTCAACCAACACACCTCACACAGCTTGCTTTCTGCTTGTTTTGGAGCTCCACATTAAAAATAAGCTTAGTATTTATCTCTAGGCTTTTTGTGGAGTTGGTCTCAGTTTCCTGCAGCAGTTTGTATCCTAGCTTGAATCTGACTGTCCTTGGAAGATAAGAAGCTGTGGAGGAGAAGCAATCCAGCCCTCAGAAGTTAGCCTTTGGAGTGCAAAACACAGCCAAGAAAGCATTTTCTTTTCCTATGAATAACACAATGACCACCAAAGTATTGTGAATGGCCAGTAAAACTCGTTTCTTCCATCAACCATTGTCAGCTCCTTTTTCAGTATCATATATCAACAAAATTAATTGTCTTCAGTAGCAGAGCAACCGTGAGCTCTCATGGGAGTAACAATAATAACCTCTGCTGAACTTTCCCCTGCTGGGTTGCACTTGCTATAAAAACCCACAGAGATAGATACAGATATTCTCTGCCAATACAACATTGCAATAGAGAATCACAGAACAACCAGAAGGTTAAAGATGGAAGGGTCCTGTAGAGGTCATTTGATCCAAAAACCCTGCTCAACTGGATCCACCAAGAATAGTTTGCCTAGAATATATCCAGATGGCTTTTGACAGTCTCCAACAAGGAAACTCTAAAATTTCTCTGGCAACATGTGCCAGTGCTGCATCACCTGCACAGTAAATATATGCTTCCTGATATTTAGATGGAACTTCTTGTGTTATAGTTGGTGCCATTTGGCAATTGTCCCAGCACTGGGCACCACTGACAAGAGCCCATCTCTGTCCTCTTTGCATCCTCCCTTCAGAAGAAGTATTAGCTCTCTTGACCTGCCTAATGTATATATACATTTATATATATATACTATAATTTGCCTAATGTAGCCAAAAGTACTGATTAGATTTTGCATCACTGACCACTATCCAGCGATCTTGCCAATCAGGCAGTTTTCAATTCACCTCACTGTCTACTTATCCAGCTCGTACTTTAACAGTTTCTCTATGAGGATCTTATGGGAGGCAGTGTCAAAGGCCTTACTGAGGTCCAAGAAGACAATGTTCACTGCTCTACTCCCAAACATCAGGCTGGTGCTTTCACTGTAGAAGCTGCTAATGATGGTCAGGAATGACTTCTCCTTGCTGAATCCATGCCATCTACTCCTGACAATTTTCTTCTCCTTCATGTGTCCAGAAATGGTTTCCTAGCATAGCTGTTCAACCACCTTACCAGGGATTAAAATGAATAGTTTTGTGGGTTCTCCTTTCTTTTCTGAAAATAATACTAACATTTGCTTTCCTCTAGTCTTTGGACCATTTTTCCAGTTGCCCTAACCAAGTAAGATTATGGTGAGTAGTTTCACAATCACATCTGTTAGCTCCCTCAGCACTTGTCTTGCATCCCACAGCAGCTCCCACAGTGCTCAGCATATACTTGCTCTGTACATTACAACTCCCTTCACTGTACACGTACTGGAGTTAACAAGACATGGCATCCCATACAGTCAGCCACACAGAGCTATACAAGTTATGTATTCTTCAGTCTCTTCTTTGGTTGCAGCAGCCACACTTACTCTCTCATATTTAGTCATAGCCTCCGACAAGAATCCTACCTTATTTCTGAAACACGTGGAGACACTGAAGACGGCAGAATCAGCGATGATTTTTCCATTAGGGAAGATAACATAAACAATAAGTGCTGGAGCTGGAGCATAGACTGAGCTGAAGGTAACAGGGATGGAGAAGAAGCCTTTCAGCACTAGATGGAGGAGAGAGGGAATAAGAGAAATAAGTAAATTTGGTAATGGAAAGGGACTCTGATCAGCTTTTGTCCTTCTGTACATGTCTGTTTAATTCCTTTCCTCAGCTATTTCAGGACTACAGCGATTTCTGAAGACCACTGAACCCAATCAGTACATCTCTAGACCTAGTATTCAAGACCCGCAAAAGATGGTTCTGTTTATTGCCTTGACGAGACGAAAGAATTATCTGGAGTTGAAGATTAGCTATACAAAGAATGAGAGTCTCAGGTATCTTTCAAAGCCTTCCATCTTATCATCAAAGAGGTTGTATTTGCCTCAAAGCACATATAATTTAGATTATAATTATGTTAAAGATAAAATACAACAGTCAATCAACAGTCTGCAACCATCAAAATGATAAGATGTGGCATCCTTCCTACTCAAAGGTTATTTGTAGGCACAATTGCAAATCAAAGCAATAAGAGTTTTGATAGAGGGAAAAGTTATGTTTTCATGCCCTTTGGAAGGGTTGCAAAGGGAGACTTATTTGAAAATGAAGGCAACAGCATATGAGCCTGCAGGTCAAGTAACGTTGAGGACTGTTTTCTTTGCACCAAACAAAAGGGAAATGTGAAAGCCAGAAATACAAGCTGTGTGGAAATGATAAAAGAAGGATGATCAAGTTCTAAATTGCAGAGAGGCTTATACCACATGTCCAGACAGAAAGGGATACCACAAAACACTGAATGTTTTCTAGACATAAAACAGGGGAGTGCACTTACTTCTTGGCAGCCCAACCCAAACAGTCTTCTGACCTGCCTGAACTATTCCACTTTTCCCCGTGACCTAAGAAAGAATAAAAAAGGGAAGGGAACGCCAGTCACATAGTCTTTGAGACCACTATGCAGACCAGTGTATTCCTGAGATTGGACGTTAAATGGGATACGTGAGGGGAATAGGAGCATTACTCACACTCAGGCAACGTGAAAAGTTCGAGAGACTTGCTGGAGGATAGATAAGGTCAATACCTGTCCTGCATCTGTGCAGAGTTCAAAAGAAAGGTGCTGCCTTTCATGCTCCTACTGCAGTCCCAGAATTAAAACCAGGATCCAGCCCCATGATGGCTGGATGAGCTAACTGTCAAACTGCCAAGCCAAAGCTATCCAGTATCAGGTTTGAACCTGTGGAGGATTCTGATATCATGTCTTGAGACATCACTACTAGCATTTCTTCAAAAACTCACAAGGTAGGAGAAAATTACACGCTTGGGTCCATGTTCCAGGTCTTCCTGGTAAATTCTGAAGTCCACCTGGATAGTCTGCTTTTTACCACAGGGCATCATATCTGGCACACGGACAATACTGAGAAAACTCCTGCTGGTGCTGTAGAATGGACGTATGAAATGAAAGGCTCTCTGGTAATTCAAATCAACTGTCTCAGGCTCTCCATCCAAATCTTGATGCAGGACACTTGCCTGGTGAGAGAGAAAAAGAAAAAAAAGAAAAAAAAAACCCACAAAACACAAACAACAGATTATTTCTTTAGTTAAGCAAGTCAGTTGCAAATCAATCCAGCTGTTGCATGTTAGAAAGCTCAGGCCACTTCTTAACAACACTGTCACACATATTTCTGTGTGAAGAGTTCATGAGGAAAGCTGTTGGGATTCAAAGAATAAGCATCAAGACCCACAGCACGCTGAGGTGTTTTGAGTTGGAATTTTAGTCCCTCAGAAAGGAACAGGGACAGTCTTTGGGGCAGTACACACTGAGAAGCATGCTTACCCCTTACTTTCATAGGCAGTGATACAGAATTTTCTTCACTTACCTCCAGGGAGGCTGAGGTGCTGTTCCAAGTAGTTGTGTTTAGGCTAAATGAAGCTGTTCCAGTGTCTCCAGTGATGTACTTTTGCTGAAACTGCTGCTCACCAAAACTCACTACAAGGAGGACTTTTTTGTACTTCAGCGTCTCGCCTTTGTAGTCAATGACTTTGATCTGAGAATACCATGGTGATTGATAGAAGCATAGAAGACTGTTTAGTGGACATAATCTCCTCCAACCCAGTAGCAGAATTTCTGCAGTATTTTAGGAGGAAGGTCACCCTTCCAATCCCTAACAACTCTGCTACCAGTAACCTCCCATTATCACATTTAGGCACGGACAAAATCCCAATACTCTTTACCCCTTCATTGCAAAAGGCCTCCTGGCTGCTGAAATTCCCAGTGCTTGGGTTTACATCCCCCAGTGCATGCCCAGAGCTATTATTACTCAAGGTTTATTTGGCAAATGAAGGTCTTGGATGTTTTTCTCACTTTTGAATATTCCAGCCCTTGCTAGAGATGGGGTTGGAAAAGCAGACTCTGTGAAGGCATTTCTCATGCTGTCTTCTCCAAAAGACCATAACTGGGAATTACCTTCCCTCTGTACATCTCTCCAGTGTGATAGTAAGAATTCACATCATCAAACAAGGCCATCCCGCCAATCTTGGAGATGAGTAATTTGTGGGAAGCATTGACCTGAATCTCTGAATGAAAGCAGTAGACAGAAACATAAGGGAGGAAATCAGGGAAACCAAGAACCTGTCAGCAATTTGCCTGTAGAATAACATCATCAGTAATACTGATGTACATGTGCATATATATTTCATACTAAGGAGATGACTTGTCCAAGGCTCTGGATATCTGGTCTCCTTCACATTATCTTCTATCCCTTAGAAAGGTCCCTAAGCTTTACGATGTGAGATTAGACCACAGACATTCTGAGTGTGTCATGCCTTCAGGAATCTCTGGCTCTGACAATATCCATGAGGTTAGACGGCAGGCCTCAATGGGCTCAAAAACCTCAGAGCTCTTGCTAGTCTGAAAGTCTGTGGCATTCTTGCTACGATTAGTGTATCTTCCCATGCATCTTCCCAGAGATATTTCCAGAATTACCTGTGCCATCCTCCAACAGTGAGGCCTCTGCAACTATGCTGTCCCGATAGTACCTCAAGTCTCGGCTGAAGGATAGGGTCACATTTGTGAAGAAGCAACCCATCTTGTCTGTCTGAAATCCCAGAGAGAGGAAAACTGGTCTGATCAAGGCAGTTATGTCAGATATTACCCAAATGGGGCAGGAACAGCAATGCAGGGCTCAAATAAGAAAATAAGCACCAGATCAAAGACATGTAGGTCCAGGGAAGGTATAAAACGTAACAGAGAAATTAAGTCCTGAGGCAGGAAACAGAAAATGAGAAAGGGAAAGGATGATGCCTGAAGGCTAAAGGAATATACAAATGTGTTACATTAATAGTCTTGAGATCTTGTTATTATGGGGCTTAACTGCTGCCTGTGGCTGCAGAACTTGATCCTTTTTTTCTTTCTTTCTTTCTTTCTTTTTTTTCTGAAAATCAACTAGCAAGAGAGAAGGTCCAAGCAGGCTGCACAAAGTCTGTGACATCCATGGCTTTCAACACGGCAAAGTCTCAGCTCCTGCAGTTTCATGAGTGTTTGCGAGATAGGGGCTTCCCACCAGTTGTGTCTGACAAAGGAATCAGCATCACCAGCATGTTGCCCATGTAAAAGGAAGTCTTCAGAGGAGTGCCCTCTATTCTATGGATTTGGTCTTCTAGATGCTATTATATATATAACTGAAGAAGACCCATTCAATAGGAAAACAAGGCTGGGTACAGGTAGCAGTCAAGAATGTGGAGCAGGCACTTGATACACACAATGTCATAGCAGATACAGCTACTAAGAGGCAGCACCAGCAGACTTGTGTTCAAGTAATAAAAACCAAGTTGTGACACCACTACAGTTTCAGCTAACACTCCAGCAGCCTTGTGTTAGCCTGGGGCTCACCACAACTTTCACTGTTTTCAGCTCCTGCTAAACAACTCACCTGGTTGTTGAATTCCTGACAGAGATCAGGTTTAGAAGCACTGGGCAAGAACTGGGATGTCTTCTGACAAAGGCTCACATAAACCATCCCCTGGACAGCTTTCCCATAGCTGTATCTGTTTAGGAGAGCAAGGAAAAGAAGGGATATTCAAACAAAGCGTGAAAACACTAGTGCTTGCTTTGTGTGCCTAGGTATTCATGGCTATTCACAATATTTCACAAATATGGCAGATGTACAGGCCTAAGAGACCTGATGCATTTAATAAGGTCAAGCTAGAACACTACAATGATATAAGATCAAGAGCTTTGTGATAAAATTAGTATCAGACTATTCTGGGAAAACAAATTACAAGAAAGATAATTTTAGGAATGTTTTGCATTAAGGTTCAAAGACATACCATGGAATATTCTGACCTGCTGTAACTGAAGTGCAGTAAATTTCCTCTGAGTCTCATGATACCTGAACGGAAATGTACTTGCCTCTGGTCAGAATTTAGCACAGGACCCACTTCTCCAAGTAGAGCCCTTACCTGCCACATACCCGAAGTGGAAAAGTTTTATCTAGTACATAAATCACCACTGGTGTCTCAAAGATCACTTCAAATTTTGGCAGCACTGTAAGGAAAAAGAAAAAAACAGACAACTGTAGGAAACACTGGCCAAGGACAGCCTTTCCAGGGAATCAACATGAATACAGACTGTGCTGGAATAAGAGACAGGAATAGGAGATAGGAAACTGAGAAGAAAGGAAGTTAAAACATGAAAGGGAATATTTCCATTATTTCTTTAACAAATTTGAATCTAGTCCCTGACTCCTTTCCAAATTAAAATTCAAACATGTTAGGGGATTTTCAGGTTGGGTGTTACGAAAAACTTCTCCAAAATAGTGGTTGAGCACTGGAACAGACTGTTCAGGGAGGTGGAGGAGTCACTGTTCCTGAAGGTGTTCAAGAAAAGTGTGGGTGTGGACTGAAGGGCATTGGTTAGTGGTAAATCTTGGTGGTAGGTGGGTAGCTGGACTGGAAAATCTTAAAGGTCTTTTCCAACCTTAATGATTCTATAATTCTATAATAATTCTACAATTCTATGTCCATATACCTCAACTTCAGACAGCTATTTGCAGTAACTTCCCAGCAGAGTTAATTAGGGAATGATAAAATAAGTGGCACTGGACTTCATATTCTTTTGAAAAGCCCATCCCAGTGACCTTATTTTGTCTGATACAACCATCTTCAGGAATCAGCTGTGTCAAAAGTCTAGGGCCTTGCACAGAGTTGCTTCTACATGATGACCGAAGGTCTCAAAAGCAATCTCTCTCCTGAGCATCAGCTCAGACTCTTTTCTATGATGTTATTACTTTCTTCATTTGCTCATGGTTATCGTGAAATAAAAACTCAGATTTCTAGGATAGAGAGTGAAGTCATCTCTGCACTTCATACACATCCCTCATGCACTCATACCATACTCCTCAACGGTGAAGCTGCCATATGTTTTCCTGTTGGTTACATTGATGACATATGTCCCCAGAAGAGGTTCATCACTTAGTTGGAAAGACAGATCTGCAATGCCTTCCTGGGGCACCACATTCAGCCACTGCTCTATCCGGTTGTTCTTGGGGTCCTACACCCATAAGAGAGAAAGAAGCAATTGTTCTAGCATCTCAGTTATCCACAGTCTATAGAAAACCATCTTCAAGATTTCAGTGCTAGTTAGAAAGATAGCTAAGGGACAAGGTTTGGCACAGTACAGTCAAGAAATTTTGAAGATAATATGCTACATTCTGCTGTCAGCATCTGAATCCCCTTCTACACTTCTCTAAATGCTGATCTCAAGGAAAGATCCTTTATAGTTCTAACCTGTTAACATAAAGGTCTAAAACGATCTGTCTATAGTTTTGTACTTCAGAAGCAAATCAGATTTCCATTCCATTAACTAAGAGCATAACATCAAGTGCAAAAACAGGCACAGAGATTGTATGTAGTACATTAGATTAAATAATCTTGATGTTCTACCATTCTACTTACAGATCCATAAAATCTACCATGAACTGTAAATGAATAGCCCAGTCAAATGGCTGCCATCAACATTAATGTAACATCAGATTTCAGCATCACTCACCTGGAGAAACAGGGAAATCTGGGAGGGAAAGAAAAGTGAAAACATTAAAAGAGAGAAATAAGTGCCAGCAACACATACAAGGTACTTCAGATGGAGAGACTTCTCTGAAGGGTGTGAAAATAGCGACTTGGAAATTCAGAGCACTGACAAACAACATAAAGAACACAGATGTCACCAAAAAGGAGAAATACAGTGTGGATTCATTACAGTAATGTCTGGAAAGAGAGAAAGGAAAAATCAATCTGAAGGTCGCCTAGCACATGCTAATTACATCCTGACAGAGTTATCTATCAGGAAAACTGCTGAATTGCTAAAACCAATATAGATTTGGCTCATTTGCAGTATCTCAAAGGAGTCACAGAGGTACATGATCTTGTAGCTTGGGAGGAACCTCTGGAGGTCATCTAGTCCAATGCCCTGGGTAAGGTTTATCTTATTAGAACAGGTTGCTGTCAGCCTTCTCTTGTTAAGTGTTGAACATCTCCAAGGAAAAAAAATGCCTTCTCTGAGAATCTGTTTCGATATCTGATAATCTTCAAAATGAAAGAGTTTTTTCTTAATGTCTAATCAGACATTCCAACTTCCAAACTACTCACTCCTCATATGACAGCATCACCATGTAAATCAGTATGTGCCATGCTTGTGCTTGAAGGACTATTTTACTAACAGGAGCAAGAACTTCTTTCCCATCTTACCTCCCCAGCTACCTGAGCTACTATTCTCCTATGGACATTCATCAGAATAAATGCAGGGGACAAGGAGCAGTTAGAAGTTTAGCAGATATGCAGAGAAGAAAGGAAGTAGGATTAATGCATAGAACAGGGAGCCTCTTCACAGACTGCAGGGCTGACTTACCGAATCATTAAATACAATGAAGTCCTCATCCAGAGTCACAATACGAAATTTCACTGAAGGCAAGGAAATCAGGGAATATATTTGTCACATCTCAATCCTTCCCTGCAGACCCCTATTCTTTCTGTCTCCTCAGGTCCTGCCTCCACTGTACACATCTGATAAAATTTACATGGACATTCTCCCAAGAAAGATTGCATGGGTAATGACCTACTGTCTCCTACAGCTACACAGTCACCACAGGATGGACAACACAGGCACTGAAAATATAATTTCAATAAGAGATGTCTTCTCAAAAACTTCTGCTGGAGCCTTCCATGATTTTCAAGCAATTGCAGTCTTTTCATATGATTTTACTAGCAAAAAGTCTAGGACCTATGCTTGCTCTCATATGCAGCTCTCACCTGTTTGCCCTGGCTTATAGACGGGCTTGTCCATTTGAATGAAGGTGCCACTGCTTGCCTTGCGGATCAGGACCTTCTTCTTCTCCTCAATATTGACCCCTTGACCTGTAATAATCAGTCTGACAGTGGCAATCTCCTCTGTGCCATCAGCTGGAGGTGCAACCTGTACAAAGAGAGAAAAGAATGCAACAACCAAGTAATATTACTTCTGGGGGCCCTTGGCAGAATTGACAGTGAAATGGAAATGAAAAAAACTAACCAGTCACTCTCCACCTGTGCCAGGGCATCCCTTTCAATACCTGAATTTAGAGGGTATAGTAATCTCACTCAGTTCTACACTCAACCAAGAGGCTTTGCATATCATGAAATCCATCATTTTTTCCCAATGCCTTCATCTCTGGAGACAGGAAGGGGAGTGTCAGGAAAATAAGAAAATCCAGAAATGTGGGAGATGGCAGCACAGAATCAAAGGACAGACACTGAGGTATTTGACATAGCTTCAAATGCTAGACTTTCAAGACTGTGTAACATGTATAAGTAAGAAAGCCAGATCAGAATGCCAGAGCTAACCACAGGGTCTTCCTGGCTCGTGCAACAAAATACTACAGCAGCCACAGAATAGAATACAGTATATAATAGAAAGAATATTACTTAGGTGTGATCGTCCTATCATAGACCTTAGCCAAATTCTCACTAACAATGAATGAGCTGTAAGATGCTGTTTAGAAATAACAAGCATATCCACTTCCATCCAACTGCTGGTCAGTAGCTCCTGAGAGCCGAGCTGCTTCCTGACTGCAGGTCCTACAGAAACTGTAGACTATGTTGTGCAAACCTTCATTTCCTCAAGCTTTACCCCTGGAGCTGCACGAGTATTTCAGAGAATCATGGATTGGAAGAGACCTTAATGAACATCTAGTTCCAATCCCCCTCCCATGGGAAGGGTTGCCACCCACTAGATCAGATTGCCAAGGGATCTATCAAGCCTGGAAGAAGGGCTAACGCTGCTCTAGTCTGGAATAGCGGAGAAGGAAACAAGTAGTGTGGTAGTTTTTAACAAATGTGACTTCAAATGAAAAGTTAGATTCAGAAGGGCAATTCAGTGCTGACCAAGTGCTGGCCTGTGCTTCACATCTGTAGGAACAATCTATTCTCATTCCTAGCAGGCTCGCTCCAAGGCAAAGTAGAGCCTCTCCTTAACAGCACTGGCTTTTACAATTCCTGGTTTTACAGTTCCAGAAGAGATGGCATTTGCCTAGGGTAGCTCACCCAGAACTTAGTGCACATGAAAGTTTTCTCCATTTGGATGTTTTTTTGCACTAAAAGATCATGTCCTGCAAAGCGCTCCAGGACCAGCTTTACTTGAATCTTTGCTTCATAACAGGTGATATGGAGGCAGGCAACTTGAATGGATGGGTAGCGGAGATCTGCAGGGATAACCACCAGGTAATGTCTGGGACAGAGGAAAGAAGACATCAGAGGTTACATCAGATTGAAGGCTCAGAGAGAAAACACACATGGGCATAATGTCTCTTCCTGGTAGACCCCCCAAAAAGATTATTCATATTTTAACTCACAGACATGAGAGACAACACGAATGACTGCTGCCTTTTGGAGTGATTTGGAATAGCAGGAAGAATAGCTGATGGTGTGGAATTCAGCGAGTCTACCTAGAGTGCTAGAGACTGAAGGAAACTGAAACATAAATTCAGCATCACTCACAGTTGGTGAAAAGAAGTTGCAATGTGGAACAAAAGGCTCAGGAAGATGGATGTCAGCATCTTGAGAGCTCTGCCTGTCCAGTCTCCAGACAATCTTTCTCTGAAATCACCAAGTTTCTTTTCAGCGTCTAACTTCTTTCTAGAACAGCCTGAATGGAGATTTGGATTTGGGGAGGAGCTAGCTTCTCACCACCTCTTTCTCTCTCCAGAAATTATATACATTCAGCAGTAGAAATGGGCGTACTCTACCAAGTGTCCCTTAGCCAATAACAGAAGCTTTGGCTGTCTTCCACCAGTTTGGAACATTCCCCCCAACCCTGCAAGGCCACCTTGGAGATATTTGACCAAATGGGCATTTCATATAAATAAATAAATAAATAAATAAATAAATGAGCCACAGAACTTCACTGATCAGTGACCCAGGACAGGTCCTGATCACCTGTGACTTACGTCCCTTTGTTTCTGCTGGAAATTGATTGCTGCTGTGCAGCCAACAGCAAGAGCTCACCCCTGCACACCCTAGGCAGTGTTGTTATTTAGGATAGGGACTCAGTAACTCTGAATCAATTTATGGGCATGTGCATCTCCACAGGCTGTTTAGCTTGAGAACATGGAGCAACTCCTTGCATGTACGTGAAGAAGCACTGTATCAACACCACCATCAGCCATCAACCACTAATTAGCTTAGCGACTTTGCCTTTTCTCTCTCTGCACATAAGTAAAATGAAAACATTCACTGAAACAGAGATCTCCACTAGCTTTTCTGCAACATCCATTTGCAGTAGCACTAACCGCAAGGAGGGTGTCTCAGGAAATAGTACAAGTTCTTTAGTGTTCATAATTAGTATTGAAGGGCTAAAGTGTCTCTATGTCATCTGGTTTTGCTCTGTTTCTGAATACGTGAATCACTTTAGAACTCATGGATTAAACAAGGGGGCTGTTTTCTAGCACTGATGACAAACTCTACAGAAGAGTAGACAATTGTGCTGCTTAACCATCCTGGCTTCCAGGAGAGTACTGTCACAATGTAAAGTGTCTGTTGTGGCTCGTACACTGATTGCATTAACTCATGAACTACATCTCTGGCTTGTTTGAGACAACATTAAATAGGTTGAACTGAAATCGAACAGAAACGATCCTTCCTTATAGTCAGACAGCTGTGGTTCTGTGCCTGGAAATATTTCCCAGCAATGTTAAATAATGCTGATGCAGCATAATCTTTACATATGTAGGTTCTAACATGACATTACATAAGCAGGCAGTTGGGATCTTTTTGTCTGGCAAAATCAGGCTTTCCAGATTTCCAGTTTATCTGGGATACCTGTTCCCAAGCCTCTCAATACTCTTTTTCCAGCTGAGGTTTGGAGAACTGATCTCCATTTGACTGATCTCCATTTTATTCTGTCTCCTGAGAGCAACTATGCATCAAGTGGGCTATCTGTTATGCAGAGAAGCAGTTGGTGCTAGCACTATCTTAGTCTCAGGTGCATTTCATGGCTCATCTGGACTCTTGCCAGTTAGCTTAATCAGTTCTCTCAACAGATTTCAGAAATCAGCTTTCAGACAGCCTAGAAGAGTGCTAGGCTCCTAGGCAAGGAAGACTTTCATCTTTTCTGTTTCAATGAACTCATTCTCTCCATCCTTGTGAAGGAAGGTTATTCCACTGAGAACAGCAAATAAACTTTTACATCACCCTTTGGCAAAAATCTGGCATTTTAATAAACACCAGTCATGTCTGACACAAAACAACAAATCATAGCCAGAGAGGGTTACATGTTGGCAGACTTCTGACAGGAGCTGTCCAAAAGCCAGCACTGGGGAGAGCTTTCTGACCCTGTCCCATCGTGTTCCTCCTACAGTGTTTGCCCAGGTGCATTCTCTGTTCCTTTCTTGACTTAGGCAAATCTGGCTCTTGGTCACAGCAACGTACATTTGAAAGACATGTATTGAAGGAAGTGACTGACATCTGCACAGGTGTCACAGACCTGACCAAAGTCTCTGAAATGCAGAGAGTACAGCAAGCTTGTGCACAGTTTCTACTTCTGGAAAGGATCTATCCTTCATGAAAATACACTATATTCATCTGGAGCAAAGGATATATACATAGAGGCAATGCTAACCCGGACACCTGCCCGCCATAGATTACTAGAATAAAAAATGGAAAGGAAAAGCAGAAAGTTAGTAAAGGCCATGCATATGATCAAGGAAGAAAACTCACAGTTCACTATAAGAACTAGGTGCGATGGTACCTTGGAAATCACTCTAATGTATTAATCTAATTAATTTAACATAATATTAGCATTAATAATAATTAACATGATTAATTTAAGAAATTACAGAGGCATTAAAATTAATGATCTCTATGAGAAGAGCACTAGGAAAGCACTGATGTCTGCATATCTCTTTGACAGGAGACTGAGCAGAGAAGAGAAACTTATCATTGACCTATTCCTGGGAGGATTCAAGGCTAGGTATTATGGGACTTGGAGCAACTATGAAAGATGATCCTGCCCATGGCAAGAGGATTTGGAACTAGATAGCCTTTAAGGTCCCTTCCAACTCAAATCATTCTATGAATTTGATTCTATCATTTTCTTTAAAGAACTATATCTGTTACAGGGTCAGTACTGCAGAATCAGCTATCAAAAAAACTGAATCACTCTTCAGTTTCCTCTGTACTCATCATCATCTTCAAACAGGCCTGGGGCCTCTTCCATTGTTGCATCCTTTCATTTGCAACCACAAACATAATGATCCAGATCACTGACATTCCAAGTTCACTTCTTACACACACATCATCTATACTTACAGTGTAGCATCTTCTTTGAAGACAAAGGAATTTGATAGCATTGTATTCTAACAGTGAAATATACTTCTGCATTAAGAATTTTTCACAGGTTTGTAAAACCTGGTTTCAGGTTTGTAAAACCTGTGAGGCCAGAGGCCAAGTTTATGCAACCTGACTAGGGAGTCCTCAGAAGAATTTGTGTCTAAAACCAAGGTGGAACACTTTCTGCTGCTTTGACAGTAGAATTTGTCCACTACATTAAGGCCAGGCATGGAACTGAGAGCACACCTGGACAAACACATCAAAAGGAGCAGAAACTGGCAGGGTCAGAAAGCCTGAAGGTAATACACAGTAAATTGTTCTATGCTCCTCTCAGTGCTTGACTTCTACATTGAGACCATCCAAAGAACTGCAATTTGAAGACAAATGCAGAAGCCTTTTTTGCTACTTAATAGGAGCTCAAAACAAAACGGAGAGCAACCTTTTACATGGGCAGTCACTCCTCCTGTGGGAGACATCCCAAAATCATCACTGTCTGAAATTTGCGATGCTGACTTTTAATTCTCAAACAGCATCAGAGACACTGACTTGAACCTGCTTCTCTCTTGAGACCCTGAAAAGAAAGCAGATCCTAGCATAGAAGATGGGGGGTGACCATTAAAATAATAATAATAATAATAATAATAATAATAATAATAATAATAATAATAATAATAATAAAGGGGAAGAAAAAAAAAAAACACCTGAGGAGAGATACTAATATTTAGATTAACTGATTAACTGTAGAACTTACATCTGTGTTTTTTTAAGATTTACAATGCCAAAGAGAAGACAGATGAACTACATAGACTTTGAAGAAACAGAGGCATTGTGGTGGTTTCACATTGGCAGGTAGCTAAGCTCCACCATGGCACATTCTGACTCTCATTCTCACTCCCTCTCCTCAAAAAGACGGGGAAAAATACAATGGAAAAAAAGGTCATATGTTGAGGTAAGAAGAGGAAGATCACTCACCAGTTACCGTCATGGACAAAACAGACTCAAGCATAAGTGAGATTAATGTAATGCCTGTTGCTAATAATAGACTAGAGCAGTGAGAACTAAAAGCAAGCTAGTAATATTCCCTCCCCCCCCCCCCACCCCATCCATCCCTTTCCACATCTTCCTCCTGAGCAGCACAGAGGAATGGGAAATGAAGGTGCAGTCAGCTCTGGCCAGCAAGAGCTGGCTCTCATCTGATGTGGGGCAGCTAATGGGCTTTGCTCACAGGGGCCACCCCTGCAGCTCCCCGCTCTACCAAAACCATTCCACATAAGGACAATACAGGCACAAACAACAAAAATCAAAGATCTTCCTCAGAGCTGCACAGTGACTCAGAACAGGGTCCAAGCAGACAACTCCATTGCTCAAGGCCAAACAGACATTTTCTCCAGAAAGATTTACCTCTCACAGACTGGAGTACTGGGTCCCAAGAAGGAATCCCCAAATCACACACAGCAAATTAAATTGGACTTACTCACTCTGGAATAGGTCTTATATTCAGGACTTTTGGAGCAAGCTGAGGGGGGTGTGACTTGCTTTATGAGTGGATTTCCTGGGGAGAGAAAAACATGTGGTTGATCCTGAAATTGAATAGAGGGATGATCTCATGGTCAGATTCACAAAGGCAGCCTAGCACTTAAAACAAATGCACAGAGGGAAAAGAAGAGGTCATGGCAGTCCAGCTTATTTGTCAGATGTAGATATCAGGAGGATTACAACTGTTAAGAGAAGTTTTGGTCAACTTCTTCCAAGCTCAAGATTGGTGCATCCTAAGAGTAAAAAATCAAGCAAAAATGGCAGGAGAACTGCACACATGAACAAGGAGCTCGTGGATAAACTCAAAGAGAAGAAAGTTTACAAAATGTGGAAAAAAGGCCTGGTCACTTGGGGGGAATATAGCAATACTGTCAAAGTCTGCAGGGACACAGCAAGGAAAGCTAAGGCACATTTGAAATTAAACTGGTCTCACACCAGTCAAGAACAACAAGTAAAGCTTTTTTTAAGTATGTCAACAGAAAAAGGAGGACTAGGAAAAATATTGTTTTGCTGTTTAATGAGGTGGGTGTCCTGGTAACAGGGGATGCTGAGAAGATGTAGATGATGAATACTTTCTCTGCTTCAGTCTTTACTGATAAGGCTGAGAAATCACAGGAACCCCCATACCCTGGAGGTAAGAGAGTCTGGAGAAAATATGGCTTACCCTTGGTTGAGGAGGAGCTGATCAGAGGTCATCTAAGCAAAACGGATACAAAATCCTTGGGTCCTGACAGGATGCACCCATGAATGCTGAGGAAGCTGGCAGAAATGATTGCCAAATTGCTCTCTATCATCTTTGAAAGGTCTTGGAGAATGTCCAGTCCTGAAGACTGAATGTCAATGTCACTCCAGTCTTCATAAAGGGCAAGAAGGAGGATAGTCTTCATAAAGGGCAAGAAGGAGGATCTGGGCAACAGCAGTCAGCCTCACCTCCGTCCCTGGAAAGGTGATGGAACAGCTTATCCCAAATGTCATCCCCAAGCAATTGGAAGAAAAGATGATCAGTAGTAATTAACATTTATCTAGGGGAAATCATGGTCAGGCAATACAGTGGCCTTCTATGATGTCATTGCTGGCCGGGTAGATGAGGGAAGAGCAGTGGGTGTTGCGTACCTTGATTTCAGGAAGGCTTCTGACACTGTCTCCCAGAACATCCTTGTAATGAAACTTAGTAAGCGTGGGATAGATGAGAGGATAGTGAGATAAAGTGAGAACTGGCTGAGTGGTAGAGCTCAGAGGGTTGCGCAGAGTCTGTTGAAGGCCTGTAACTAGCAGTGTTCCCCAGGGGTCATACAGGGCCCAGTCTTACTCAACATCTTTATCAGTAATCTGGATGAAGGGATAGAGTCCACCTTCAGCAAAAACTGCAACACAGGAAAAAATTCTTTACTGCAAGGGTGCCAGAGCACTGGAACAGGCTGCCCAAAAAGGTACTGGGGTTTCTCTAGAAATATTCAGGAACCATCTGGATGCTTTCCTGTGCAACCTACCATAAGGAATCTGTTTTAACTGTGGGAGAGGAAGGGAGGGAGAGGGGCATTATTTTTTAATAATTAAATAGGCATTATTTAATCTCCAGAGGTCCGTTCCAACCCCTACAATTCCATGATTCTCTAAGCAAACAAAAAATCCACTGGCTTCTTTATCTTGCCATTAGACAGAATTTCAGTCCCATGTTTTCCCTGCATTAGAGATTTTAAAACCAAAACAAATAAAACATATTAGAAAAGACTGCATTTTCTTATACTGTCTCTTCTTAGTGTGTCGCTACAGCCATTCCCTCAATTTTTCTTTCTCACCCTCTATCTTTTCTTCATTTCTTCCTCCAGTCTTTCCTGAGGTCTTCTCATATGAGTTGAGGAAGCTCATGACTCCACATGGTGGCCTTCTGTTCCGTTTGTTTCTGGACGTGAAGCTCACCAGTGCAGAGACGATCATTAAAGAGGTTAAGATTGGAAGCTAATTAAGCTATAGCAAACATGCCCTGGTTGAGTTTGTGACCTTGAGGAATACGAGCCTGGCAAAAGGTAGGCTTAGGACCCTGAACTTCAGGAGAGTTAACTTCTGGCTGTTTAATGAACTATTGGATGAGATCCTCTGAGTAACTGTCCTTAGGTACAGAGGAATAGAAGAGAGCTGGCAGCTCATTAAGAACAACTTTCTGAGAGCACAATAGCTCTCCAGTCCCAGCATAAGAAATCAGGCAGACAAGGCAGAAACCAACATGGCTGAGCAAGGATCAGGCTGATAGGAAAAAACGAGAAGTATAAGCAGCAAAGAGGGGATGTGTGATCTGGGAATAACACGAGAGTTGGTGAGGGATGTAAAAAATAATAAGAAGAGGCATCTACAGGTGCATTCATCAGAGGAGACAAGCAAAGTGCATCCTCTCTGATAAATCATGAAAAGGGAGAACTGCCTTCAAGAGACATGGAGAAGTCTGATGTACTCAACAAGTTACTTGTCTCACTCAGAATTGTCACTCAAGCTTCCCACACCTTTCACATCCCTGAACTTCTAGGCAGGGAGAGGTGGAGGGAGGAAGATCCCTCCCACTGCAAGAGCAGAGCAAATCAGAGACTTCCACATGAGACTGAATTGCATATGGGACCAAGCAACATGCATCCCAGGGTTCTGAAGGAACTGGCTGATGTGGTTGCCAAGCAACTTTCCATCACATTTGAAAAATTGTGGCTGTCAGGCAAAGTGACTGGAAAAAGCAAACATCACTCCCACTTTGAAGAAAGGGAGAAATGTAGACCTTGGGAATTACAGGCCAGTGAGCCTTGTGTCTGTGCCTGTGAAGGTCATGGAACAGGTCCTCCTGGAAGAGATGTTAAGGCACATGTGAGATGAGGAGGTGATCTGAGACAGACAGCACAGCTTCATCAAGAGCAAATCATGCCTGGCTAGATTGGTGGCCTCTTATGATGGAGTGATGGCACTGGTAGACAAAGAGCAATCAATATTGTCTACCTGAACCTTTTCACAGCCTTTGATAAGGTCCCACACCATATCCTTATCTCTAAATTGGAGATATATGGGCTATTCAGTGGATTAAGAATTGGTTGGATGGTCACATCCAGAGGATTGTGGACAATGGCTCTATGTCCAGGTTGAGGCTGGACACAATTGGTGTCCCTCAGAGGTCAGACCTTGGATAGTGCTCTTTATCAGTGATACACACAGTGGGATTGAGTACACACTCAGCAAGCTTGCTGATGAATCTAAGATGAATGCTGCAGTTGATACAGTAGAAGGAATGTCATTCAGAGGGACTTGAGCAGTCTTGAAAAGTGGGTCCACGTGAACCTAATGAGGTTCAATAAGTCCAAGTGCAAGGTGTTGCACTTGGGTTGGGGCAATCCCAGGTATGCATACAGACTGTGAGAAGAACTTATTCCAAGCAGCAATGTGGAGAAAGACTTGGGGGTCCTGATGGCTGAAATGCTCAACATAAGCCAGCAGTGCACACCTGCAACTCAGAAGACCAACTGTATCCTGGGATGCATCAAAAGTGGTGGCCGCAGGGGTGACTGTCCCCTTCCCCTTGCTCATATGAGGCCCCAGCAGGGGTGACTGTCCCCTTCCCTTTGCCCATATGAGGCCCCAGATGGACTAATGTGTCCAGGTTTGGGGCTCCCAACACAAAAATGACATAGAGCTTTTGGAGTGCAGTCAGAGGAGGGCCACAAAGATTACTGTGGACTGGAGCACCTCTCTTATGAAGAAGGGTTGAGGGAACTAGGTTTATTTAGCTTGGAGAAGGCTCCAGGGAGATGTAATTGTAGCCTTCCAGTACTTGAGGAGAGCTTATAAACAGAAGAGAGACTGACTTTTACATGGTCTGATTGTGAAAAAACAAAGGGAAATTACTTTAAACTAAAGATTTTAGGAAATTAGATGTTAGGAAAAAAATTCTTTACTCAGAGGGTGGTACTAGAACAGGTTGCCCAGATAAGCTGTGCATGCCTCTTCCATGGAGGCGTTCAAGGCCAGGTTGGATGGGCAGCTGATCTAGTGCTTGGCAACTCTGCCTACAGCAGAGATGTTGGAGTTGGATGGACTTTTAGGTCCCTTCTAGCCTAAGCCATTCTATAATTCTATAGTTCCCAGATCCTTTTGCAACTTCAGAACTCAAAGTCTGCAAACTTATAGGCTCAAATTCAAACCTAAGGACCATTCTGCTATATTCAGTGATTTATTTTGGAGGTTAATTTCAGATATCTGGGGCAAAATGTATCTGATAGCTTGTATTGCTGGTACCTGAACATGGCCACACTTGGTTCCATTTTGATTTGTCTATACTGGATATGAAATGACCAGAAACAATATTAACAGAGATCGTTTGAAAAACAGCTTCTTTACCAGTCTCATGATTTTTGCAGGTATGGAGTTAATTTTCTTCATAGAGGCCCATATGATGCTGTGTTTTGGATTTTTGATGAAAATGCTGGTGAGCAGTGCTCAACAAGGACTTTTTTGTTTTTCACACTGCCCTGTCAGCAAGGTGGCTGGCAGTACGCAGGACACCTGACCTAAGCTGACCAAAGGGATATCTTATACTATACAATGTATAGTGTATGCATGGGAGGTAGGAGAGTGACAAAGAGTTCGCCAATGCATGGTTGATTCTTCCCCCCATTCCAATGTCATGCTCAGTAATAAAAGCTGGGGTAGAGAACAAGGAAGGGGTATGTTTTGAATGATTATGTTTATCTGCCCAAGAAACCATTACACGAGATGAGCCCTGCTTTCCTGGAAGTCATTGAACAGCTGCCTGCTGATGAGAAATAGCAAATGAATTCCTTCTTTTGGCTTGCTTACATACATAGTTTTGCATTACCTATCAAACTGTCTTTATCTCAACCCACAAGTTCTCACACATATACCTTTTTGATTCTCTGCACATCTCAGCTAGCTGTAAGGATTAAACCACAGCAAGAATTAACAGCCTATCTCTCTCTTGTGGGTTTCTTCTCCTCGCTGAAGGTGTTGAGAAATGCTCTTCTCAGCTGAGGAAGTTTGTAGGAACCTACCTGTAGAAAAGTGAGGAAATCAAGTTGGTTGATTAAACCACAAAAAGGTGTGTTTTAGGGTCAGAAGAACAATGACAAGTTTCAAAAATGATCTTACCCCAGTACAGAGCAGTCAATATACTTATTGATTTCACAGAGATAACCTCCATTTTGGAAGGAGAACATACTATACATACACATGCATAATCATGCAGGAAGGCCGAGAAAAAAGGAACAAAAGATTCACATTGCAGACAAGACATGATAGATCATTGTGATAGATCATCATCTCACAGAATTCCTCCTCCATTCTTAAGCTTAAAATACCAGCAAGCCATCATGTAGTATATCCTCCAAGAACCATTTAATCATGATAATCAGTTTTTAAAAGGTAGAATTATAGTGTCATCTAATAATTTCAGCAGACTTCACAAAGTTTTCAAAATCTGTGAAAAGTTAGAGTGATTACATCTTTTCCCTGACAAAGTTTGTTTGTTTGTTTAACTATTGACTCATTAGGTCTCTAAGATAATGATACACCTCTGACTGTATAAAGTTTGATTAAGAAGTTAACACTTATTAAGTAGAGAGACCAGATCTCACACCTTCCACTGAGGAATATGCTGTTTAAGGTCAGCAATGATCTGTACTGCACAGCGCTTGCATGGCCAGCTGGACAATGGATGAGCCTGGGGGAACAATGACAGGGTTTGGAGTAAGGCAACTGACTCAGCTGAAGTGCATCTACATCAATGCAGCATGGGCAACAAACAGGAGGAGCTGGAAGTCATCAAGTAACACGCAAACTGTGACTTAGTTGCCATTACTTAAACACAATGGGATTGCTCCCCTGACTGGACTGCTACAGTAGATGGCTATAAGCTCTTCAGAAGGGATAGGCAATGAAGGAGGGGTGGTGGCATGGCACTCTATGTTAGAGAGTATTTCAATGTTGTTGAGCTTGGGGCTGGGAATGATAAGGTTGTGTCTCTATGGGTAAGGAGAAGGGGCAGGGCCAACAGGGCTGACATCCTGGTGGGGGCCTGTTAAAGACAACCTAACTAGGATGAAGAGATGGATGAGGCATTCTACGAGCAGCTGGCAGAAGCTGCATGATCACCAGCCCTTGGGGGACTTCAGCTTCCCTGATATATACTGGAAATATAATACAGCACAGAAAAAGCAGTCTAGGAGGTTTGTGTGGAAGATAACTTCCTGACACAGCTGGTAAGAAAGCCTACCAGGGGAGGTGCCCCACTAGACCTGTTGTTCACAGAGAAGTGCTGGGAGATATGGAGGCTGGGATTTGTCTTTGACAGAGTGACCATAAAATGGCTGAGTTCTCTATTCTTGGTATCAGCAAAACTGCTGCTGTGGAGTTCTGGAGGGCGAACTTTGAACTGTTCCGGACATTGGTAGGGAGGGTCACTTAAGATTCAGTCTCAAGAAGGCACAGGAGCAGGCTCTCCCTCTGTACCATAAGATGAGCCAGCGAGGAAGAAGGCTGGAGTAGACAAACAGAGAACTTTTTCTGAAGATCCGGGAGAAGAGGCACTTCCTGTAGAAGAAGGGATGAGCAACTCAGGGAAAGTACAAAGCAGTTGTTAGGATATGCGGGGAGAAAATTAGAAAGACAAAAGCCAAGCATGTATTCAACCTGGCCACTGTAGTAAAAGAGAACAAAAAGCTTTTTACAAATATACTAACAGTAAGAGGAGGGCTAACAAGAAACTCCATCCTTTACTGGATGCAGTGAGGAATGAGATCACGAGATATAGAAAAGACTGGGATTCTCAATGCTTTCTTTACATGTGTCTTTAAAAATCAGATCAATTACCTCGAGGTACTCTA